CTCCTGAAACATGAATATTGGGGGGCTTAAAGGTGATGAGTACTTCACACATTAAAGCTATGCTATGCAGGAGTTTCCTTAAAAAAACATGTATAGGCTTATACAGAGGTAATCTCTCTCTGTCACCACTTATGACCCACTAGAAGTGTGTGACGATGTATTTATTTTGCAAAGACCTTACCCTCTGCCATAAACCAGTGTCCAGTGTGTCCAATGCTTCAGGCTTCGACATGCCTCCAGAACATGGTTAAACACTGTTTGCTTCCTGTTCCACGCACCTGATTCCCATTACCTGGAGCTTACCTATATGCACCTCAGACATGAATACTCCACCCTGTGTTCAATTTAATAACTGCATGTGTATATTTATATCTACCATGTGGCTTTGGTAAGTATAAAGTGAACAAACAAAAACTATATAATGGCTCCGACAGCCTGTATTTTCATTCATCATTCTTATTTTCTGTGTTCGGGACATTCATGGGCGTGTGTTCCCACAGCGCTCAGGTGAGGTCAGGGCTTTACTAAAAGCAAGCGACTAGTTGGAGATGATAAGCAACATGCATCCAAGAGACATGGCACAGAAAAACGCAAATATAGTGATGCAAAACGCCAAATGAAAGTGAATCTGGGGTTTCATTTTCACTGGCAGCGTGTTCACAAACAGTAACTGACAATCCTGCGTATTATACCTTTAAATATACTAATAATGCAACCATAAAAATCCATCTTAAGGTCAAAGCATTGTTATATTTATAAAAACACTCACAAACTTAGCTTTTGTGCTTCAGCATGCTAAAGTGATCAGTGGATAATTCCAAAACCAAGGGTGTAGGTTTTGTTTTAAAATGGCAGCTTGGAGGTGAGACACACACATGATCCTCTGCCGGAGAATTTTGAGCATCGAACATTTAATTTCCTGCATTCTGGCAAATTTTTAGGCAGAGTTGTGCCTTTTATGCATCAATTTATGGTGGAAATGTCTTTAATTTTATTAAAACAAATGTTCTCTGCTACTTTGATGTTTTTATTGGGGGAGACAAATGTGTATGTTTTTAAATTGAGGAGGACATGTCCCCTGCGTTCCCTCTAAAGTCTACATCTATGTCCAAAACTGTTTAAACGACGGCTGAAAATATTGTGCTCTTGTAGGTGTCAGTCATTTCTATCAAAATCAGAATTGAGAAACAATTGGCTACATTGGATGATCTAATTTTAGAGCTTAACAGATTCAGCTTTTCTGGAAATGGCATGTCACTCCACTTTCTCCAACATATAGGAATAAACCCCTCTTGCACTTGTATACAACCTTGTTATCTCTATGATTTATTTAACGATCTTTAAAGTGGACTTGTTGAACCACTATATGTTCGGTGAAAGTCCGCCCAAGGATGCTTTAAAGCGGCTGTGCCACCCTGCCAATTTGTCGATGTCAGTCGACAGCCACGCACGTTAATCTGTTCGCCAGCCTCTCTGCCTCTCCCACAACCTCAACAAACCGCTTGATAACAGAGGGGACAGAAAGACGAGAACAAAGCCAGCGTCGCCAACAAGAAGGCAAACAAATGCTAACACTGCCGCCGCTGCCAAAAAACGCCCATCCCCACAATTTATTGCCCTTTTCTAAGACTTATTCAAGGTTTTCATCATATACCGACCCGCCACACCCCCTGCCAAAAGACCCAGAATGTGTCTGTGTGATGAGGTGGGGGATTAAAAAAACGAAGCAACAAGATCGGCCCTTTCTTTTTCTCAAGAAAGACTAGAAATGAAGCTTTGTGCACGTCCGCTGCTGTGGCACATTTGAAAAGTCTGGCCCGGCTGCTTTTGTGTCACCAACATAATGGGGATTGAGGGAAAACACAAACTGAACCACTGTGCCGTTGTGGCACTGGCTATTAGTCAACGTGACGGCCTTTGCAGATGCTAATGGTGTATAGTGTGTCCCAGCCGGCCTCCCTCCTCCCAGAACGTGGCTATCTGATAGCACAAAGGCCTTCTGCTGGAGGTTGACTTTTCCCCCTTTCTTTTCATGGCTGCTACAAAGTCATTAGGCTTTTTTTTTACTCCTTTCCCCTTGTTTTTGAGAAAACAGGGGAATATAATAGCCACGGAGAAAATAGAAAGTTGACGTGAGGCAGTTATCTCCATGTGTAAAGCCTCAGGTGATGGTAGTGAGGATGAGGCCAGCCCCCTCTACATCCACCCCTCCCCACCTCGCTTCCCTTTGAGCAATGTGGAGATGAAGTAACAACCAGGCTCTTGTGAAAGAAGAGAGGATGCCCAGGAGTGGAGGACCTCTGGACTCTGACTTATTAATCAGTCAGGCCCTCAGCTGCCTGCCTGCCTCTCCCGAGCTGCTGCCTCAGGCTGCAACGTGTCTTCAGCCTGCTCAGGGTTGAGATAACAGCCTGCAGAGTTAAATACTCTGAGGGTTTGCCCAGACCTGGAGCAGAGGCCTCCTCACATCAGCACACAGGTCACTGCATCCAGATGCAACAGCTGTAGAACAACACACTATATAATGGAAACACACGTACATGCAACACAACCTGTCAAGGATGAGTGAAACAATGCATCAACGTTGACGGCTTTTAACTAGCCAGGTTTTTATTCTATCAAACATCTACTGGACAGGTAATTGCGCTAATGATAGATTGGAGATGTGCAACAACATTTTTTGCCAACACTAGATATCAAACAAAAGCCAGAGACTGTGTCGTATTAAGTATCCGTGAGCTGTAAATTCACCACTTTTAAGCAGAAGAAAGAAGATAATGTTATCTCAGAGCCTTATGGTGGAAAATTTCTCCTCCTCTGTGCCTCTGCCGGTCTCAGAGAGTAGCATGAAAGTCAAGAGCACTCACTCTGCAGCAAAATTACAGAGGTACTCCGCCCAGCGCAATGACTAGCAAAAAACGAACAGACAAACAAAACTGCTCAGCTTAAAGCAATCTCAGTCGACTGATGAGTCTCGGACTGACAATTCAAATCTCTGACTTTCAAGGGGTGGCCCTACTATTGGATAAACTGCCATGAAATTTTGTATAGACATTCATCATCCTCAGAGGATGATCCGTGCAAGATTTGGCAATCACTCCTCTCATTTCTAAATTTGTTTGATACTTTAGTTATTGACCAAATGTCGTTCTTATCAGCCTCAGCTCTTTGTGTTTAGTGCTCATTAGCCGATGTTAGCATGCTAGCACAAGATGATAAACATGTCTAAGCATGATAGCATGCTGACGTTAGCATTTAGCTTAAGACACTGCAAAATACAGCCTCATTTGATGCTAGCATGGCTGAAGACTTAGTCTTGTTTCATAATGAGATTCAGTGTTCACTCTTGACCTTAAAAAAAAAGCAGCTAATAAAACAATTTTATTACAGAATATATTTAGCTGTTGTTCAAATGAAATGATCTCAGTCAGATGATGGAGTTTATTGCCCGATTGTCATGGAAATTTTCCACTTCATGTGCATGTTGGCTGTTGAAAGCAATGATTGTGTTGTTAACTGCTGTCAAGTGTTTTTAAGATCAAGAACAGTGTTGGAAAGGTTAATTTTGAAATGTTAAATGTCACAGAAGTGCAACTTCCTCTATTTGATATTTGTTTTTGAATTTCTTTTCTGAGAAATGTTTTTCACTGGGCAATAAAGCTGAACATAGTTTGGGAATAGGCTGTGTCAAATGAAGGCATTCCTGCACAGCTAAAAGATGCAAATCAACAGTGAATGTGACAATATGAGAAAAAGAAATGTCTGGAGTGCTCGGAGGTTCAAACATGTGATGAGGGTGCTCTTTGGTAGGGAACACAGAAGTAAGCACACGTGCAAAATGTTAAAAAAAAAATAAAAAAATAAAAAAGCCTTTAATCAGATGGATATTTTTATAGTGAAAGAATATATTTGGATGCAGCCCCTTTGTTATAACCAACATTTTGATTAGTAACTGTAATTAATTATTATTTTCACTACATTTATTTTATTATTTAACTAACTAGTTACTCCACTGGTCAAGAATGATCTCTAAACCACAACTTTTGGGCTGACAAGAAGTTGAGAAGAAGAAGCATTGTTCTGCTGGGAAACCTTTGGTTCTGGCTTCATGTGGATACCACCTGCCATGTTCCACCCACTCAAACAGCGTTGCGGACCAAGTACCCCCCCTCATGGCAACAGTACTCCCTAATGGCAGTGGCCCCCCAACAGAAAAAAAGCAGCATGCCACACTACAAAAACTGAAGAAATGGTCTGGAGCGTGACAAAAAGCTCAACCTGGCTTCTAAATTTCCCAGGTCCCAACCTGCTCAGGGATTCTTGTTGTGTGTCGGTACCCCAGATGTATCCCTAATCCAAGGTGGGGCCTCCTTGGATCGGACTTGGCTCTACCTGTCGAGGCATGGACACAGGATCTCTGGGAGTGTCCTGTAGTGTCTGGCACCAGTGCGTTGGCGGCAGATCCATTTAGTCCAGTGGGTTGTGAGGTGGGTTAATGGCACGTGCCACAGGTGCTCATTCAGATTGGGAAGTGGGGAATTTGAAGGTCAGGTTGACACTTTGAGGTCTTTGTCACATTCCTTGGGCCACTCCTGAGCGATGATTACAGTGTGGCATGGTGCATTATCCTGCTGGGGGGCCACTGCCATTAGGGAGTACTGTTGCCATGACGGGGGGGTACTTGGTCTGCAACAGTGTTTGAGTGGGTGGAACATATCAGGTGGTATCCACATGATGCCAGAACCAAAGGTTTCCCAGCAGAACAATACATTGGAACAAAATAAGTCAGTGGTTTTTGTTTTGGCTGATCGGTGTATGTAATATATCTTCAGGGGCTCCACAAGACCTGTTAAATGGACCTTGAGGTGATATTGTTCTGTCATTTGAGTTTCTCACTGACTGAAGGTTCACGTGAATGGACAATGTTCACTGGATGACAATGCGCTCAACAGCAGGACACAAATGTTGCAAACAGGTTCGACACTGGACAAGCCGACACGTCATGAAAAAAGGTCATTTTTATTTGTCAATTTTATTCACTTTTTTTTTTCTTTTAAACACAAATTTAATAAATAAAGCACATCTGATGGGGTACACCATGCAAACATTACTTTCTACAACATAAAACATTGTTTTGAACCAACCCACCGATTTTCTGTTACACAAGTTGCTCAATTTGCAAACACGTGCTGTACATGATAGTAGCTCGACTTCCCGTTAACTTTATATACTTTATATATATATATTTATGTACTGTACCCATATACACATGAATGAATTGATAGGGTTAAGACAAGTCTCTCAACCCGATTTCGGTCAGAGTTTTTCAAGCTACGTGGGTGATGCAAAGTGTCAGAAGAGATGTGAGATAAGGGGCTCAAGATGAGAACGAGGAAGAAGCACAAGACTGGGTGCAGTGTGCAGACGTCCAGCCTGGACTTTGACTTGTAGAGGAATCAGTGAGATGACAAAAGCGTACACTTTCAGTTTAAAATTACTGACCAGCATGTGAGATATTTATCTGTTTTCTTAACCTTGAGCTTCCTGTTCATTTACAAAGGACGATAACTGTTTTTCTCAGTTTCTGGATGTGTGATCTCGTTCCTCACGCAGCAAGAGGTGTAAGATCTAAATGACCATTTAGTCACAGACAGGAGAGGAAAAGTGCAGCTGCACCTGTGCTGAGTTCATAAAGATAGACCTAACTGTGCTGCCAAATAAACATAAGGACGTCAAACCTGGTGCGGATCGGAAACACATAGAGACAACCCCAACTTCCCCTGTGAATTACCGTTTAAGAGGATGTCCTATCATTTGTTTGGAAGCTGTATTATTATCAGTCAGCTGCAACATGAGGAGAGTACAGATGAAAAGTGAATGTACAATAATGCAAGTGCAAACATCACACACACAAAGAGACAAAGACAGAAACAAAAAGTGGCATGACCAGGACATTACAAGCATTTGGCAGACGTAAAAACATTGTATTGTCAAATAAACCCCATTAGATCAATTTTTAAAGAAATAAATCTATGCATAACATTGTTTCCGTAAATTTCAGAGCTGGACTGATTGTTAATGAGTGGTTGTGGTGAGCTTTGAGAGGAGGGAAGCTGAATAATACACCAGGTAGCTACTTTCATTTTTATAGATTTCAGGTGTAAACCTCTGCTGGAGCTAAACGCTGTCATATTTAAGTGTATGTGGAGCATAAACGCAGAGCAGAGCTGCAGTTTGGATTGATAACGTAAGTGCTTTTGGACCCTAAGTGCAACTAAAAAGAGCTGGTAAATGTAAAAAACGTATACCAGGTGGGGACCATGGTGTATTTTAGGAGCACCAGGCGAGATAAGGATATGAAATTCAAGGCTGTTTCACCCATCAGGAACAGCGCCAATGGTGTTTCTTTGTACAGAGATCAGTGAAGACACACACTCTTCTAATCACACGTACACAGACACCATCAGATGGAAAAAAAAAAGAAAAACTGGAGGGGATAAACATGAGCACAATCCTCATTTATTGAAAATGAGAGGTCAGGTGTCTGACGGCACTGTGAACGCTTCTCGTTTTCCTCCCGATCGGATGCTGTTTGGGCTCCTGTGCAGAAGTCCCGCCCTCTCGGCCCAGGACAGTTCGAAAGAGAAAACAAAGAGAGAGAGCGTGAAAACTGTTTCCTTCAGTTCAGGTCCACGTTTCCGTCAGCATCAAAGAGGACAGGAAGCCAAGCCGTGGGTATTAAAATCAAGTGAGAGGTGTGGGCGGGGTCAGGGCGCGATGGCGGTCATTTACAGATTGAGTTGTCTTTGTTCAGTGCATTTATCTGTTGTGATCCATACATTTACTGTCAATAGTTCTGTGAAGAAAAGGGAGGAACAAACAACAGGTCAGATTTACCTACAGTACTGGTGACTGGTGACTGGGAACTTTTACTCCACAGCACAGAGACAAATACCTGGTTCTCTTATTTCTCCTTGTGAAGAGCTTCTATGAAGGCTTCAAGTTTCTCCTGGATCTCTCGAACTTTCTCTGCAGAGAAGCACAATGAGTGAGCTGGTTAGTCAAACCCTGATAAATACACAAAATATTGACAGAAAACAAGCACAAAAACCCTTGTAAAATATAAACAAAGTCAATTAATAGGTCAACCAACAGAAAAAGGCCAACAATTTTGATATTCAGTAAAACTTTTAAGAAAAAGACACCACAAATTTACAAGTTCAGCTTCATAAATGTGTTGCAACAGTACTGGAATTTCTTACTTCACTATATGACCTTGAAAAATATCAATTTTCCATTTTTGATACCACGCAGAAAAATGGACCTGGAAAGCTGACCTTGAGGGCGTATAATTAAACATAACTAAATATAAATATAACTAAAACATGACAGAAGGGAGCCCTTCTGTGCAGAGTCTGCATGTGTGTCACAATGGGTTTTCTCAGGGTACTCCAGCTTCCTCCCACAGTCCAAAGACATGCAGGTTAATTTATGACACCAAATTGGCCGTAGGTGTGAATGTGAGTGTGAATGGTTGTCTCTATGTGTCAGCCCTGTGATAGTGTGGCAACCTGTCCAGGGTGTACCCTGCCTCTCGCCCAATGTCAGGTGGGATAGGCTCCAGGCCCCCGGTGAACCCTAACAGGATAAGTGGTCACGGAAATGAATGAATGAATGAATGAATGAATGAATATAACATGACAACAATGACGACTTTTCTTGGTTAGTCACAGAGAGCAGCAGAATTAGTATCATAAACATTAACAATAAGAGAGAGTGAGAAAGCAGAGCTGGTACCAGTGTATCAATACTGTGGAAAATGAGCACTGAAACGGTTTCAAATATTCAGAATTGATAAATTGATATTTTTTGACAAAACTACCGCACTGCTTGGACTTTGGGAAACTGCTTTGGCTTTTCTTCTTTTACTATTTATGATGTTTAATGCACTGAAAAACTGATTGATAAATTGAGTATACTTCTGCAGGTATAAATTTCCTCACATTTTTCACCAAAACACCAGATGGTCCCCTCTGACAGTGACAACCAAACCTCAAGGCAGACTTCCTTCACACATCTGATGATGAAGGCTTGTGTACCCTTTCCCAGTTAGCATAGACCACATCAAAGCCCTCACCCTCCCCTCCTCGTGGTATGTACCTCACGGGCACATTGCTAATGGACAGAAGGAGATACCATAACAACAACATTTCACAAAAAGGGGGGAATCCACTGGAAAAACAATCAGTCACTTCTTTTCACGATTGCACTCCTGTTGTCCGCAGACTGCATAAGACGAGCAATCCTTCCACCCAAACATGTACTGTCACACGAGACGAGCGAGCCATCCAAAGCAGTCTTAATCGCTGATTAAACAGTGGCTGAAGGAAGTCTGTGGGCCAACACAGAGAAAAGGAAGCCGTGGCTCGCAATGCCAGCTGCACCTCCAGGCCTGGCTGCCTCTCCAGCTTCCCTGTCACCCTCGCTAATCTGTCTGGATCTCCCCCAAGCACAAACTCAAACACCGGCTCTGAAGAACAAACTAGCACTGCTCTATCTTGATCAATCAGCCACACGAGATCCATAGTCGACCTATTGTTGATTATTTTCCTACAAGGAGGCCCAATGAAAACACAGCTTTAGAGAGAATTGCCCATTTTCGGGGAGATAAATCATTGTGGTTTGGACCTCAGAGCAACAGTGTCCTAAGTGTCCATTTCAGGTCGGCACAAAGGTGATAACTGTGTGCGTGCTTTGGAGTGAAACCAAATATTGTACTCAGGGGCTTGTGTGCAGCCCTCTTTTGATGGGAGCACGGCTGCTGAGGTATCCTTTTCCTGATGGATGAAAAGCACACGGTTTTTAGGGGAGATGCAGGCACACCCCCACACACACGTCCTGAAACACTAGCAGAGCTGCGGAGTGCTGGATAACACACACACACATACACACACACACACACACACACACACACACACACACACACACACACACACAGGTAGGTAGAACTGTGAAAATTAACTGACAGCCCTGAAAGACACACAGACAAAACCACCCTAATGTCTTAGACCAGCTAGAGCTGTACAGTCATGCCACCTCCACCTCTTTTCACCTTCCTACACACTCACCGCTGGCAGGTGGCGAGAAAAAAAAAATCCCCAGCCTTTGATACTCTGTTAACACACTCAGGCGAAATGGCAGGGCGTTAGGTGGAGATTACAACACCTAATGGAGGCATTAAGGGGGCCTGTCGAGGGGCATGCTGACAAGTCACTGCAGCAGGTGTGGGGCTGAATGAAACATAACCCTGCAGCACGCCATTCCAACACGAAGCCCACCGCAGGGCATGGCTCAAAGGCGACTGACAGGGTTCAGCCGTGTGGGCTGCGTGCCCTGACCACAGAACAACACAGCTCAATCCAAGCCAATCAGAGCTGGATTACCAACATCTGTCTGACCTCAGGAAAAGAAGATGTGAGGTACGGGGGTGGGGGTGGGGTTTTGGTTGGTGTGAGGACAGGAGGGTACCGACTGTCAGATCATCAAAACATGGGAAATCCCCTGGCTCGAGCTTCAAAGCTTCCTAGTAGGTTTAGATGTGGCTGTTGATAGGTTGCTCCATGAAGGCTCAATGTTTCACATGCAGACCGCTTAACTCGGGTCAAACATTAAGGATCCTGCCAACTGTCGGGCAGAGACGCCGAGCTCTGCTGAATCACTGGAGGCAGCAGCGGTTAGAATAGAGGGCCTGTGAAAACAAAAGACACAGATTGTCTGGGAAAGTTTACCATGAAAGGCTGAAACCCGCTCTCTTTTTCTTCAACACCTGCTGCTGATGCAACTGACACCCATCACTGACTGAGTCCTTCAGTACAGAGATGTTATGATACCATTTCTGACGTCCGATACGGTCATAAAAAAATAAAATCATACAAATAATTTTTTCTTCTTTTAATCTTAAAGTGCAGCCACAATTAAGTATAACTATAAATAGGACAGTACAGTAAAAACAGGAGTACAACAGCAACTTAAATAACTCTAGGAATAAATACAATTTGTGTAATTTAAAGGAAACACTAGTGCCACCCCTCCAAACTAAAACCTTACATACACGTTGTCTTTCTATCTGTGAGACTTTCCAGTGTAAAATATTGCCAAATTGCTGACATTCTGCTAACAGCAAACGTTACACGATTTACTGGAAATCAATTATTCTCGGCCGCTCTAAAAACAGTAGTTGCCAGTGGCTGCACGGCGCAGCGTGCTGTGTAGGCTACTGTTATAGAGCAGCAGGAGAATTGATTTCTGGGAAAGCTGCCATTTTATCCGGCTGTGAAACTACTTTGAAGGTGATGAATAAATTATCTGGTATTGGATCGGTGCATGGACTCGTAGGCTCAGTGATACCTGATCCAGCATTTTAGGCAGCATCAGAAGCATTTCCAATACTGGTATTGGTATTGGAACAACTGTACTTCAGAGGAGTGCAGACCTGTAATTGTACCGGTCAGCTCTTGTAGAGTGAAAACACCCCAAAATCATGAGTCACTCATTTGCCTCCGAAGGCCTTACACTCTGTACAACACCACAGCCTTTATCCTCAGGCTGCATTAAGGTTGTCTTAAGTACCACATTAAAAAATAACCCACTCCCTCGTTCATTTGAATGCATTTTTTTGTATGCTTTTAGTCTCAGCACCCACATCACCTCAACTCAGATGTGACAAAACCTCCACAGGGGAAAAGGGAGAGCCCTCAGGATGATCAGCAGAACAGAAGTAACAGGAGTATAATTACACTCCAGAGAAGCCAAGTGTAAAGTACATATTACAGTAAGTGTAATCCCTCTAAGAGTCAGAGAAAATGTCCAGCAACCTCCACCAAGCACAAAACCTGGACCACAAATCCTCCTGTGCCTCCTGTGTGTCTCACAATGTGGAGAAAATGACTGGCACAGTTTTACCTGCGCCTGGCTCCCCGTGCAATTAGAGCTCCACCATGACATTCTGGAGAGAAGACTGCCTAGATCAGAACAGCAAACCCCATCAACCATTCCCTTACAGCGGGATGTTTAATGACTTTAAAATGAGTCCTCAGCAGCTTTCAGGAGCCCAGGAGGCCACCGGTGACTGTGAATGGAGTCTTTCAGAAAAGCCAATATTCCGTGGATAAAAACTGTGAGAAACAGATATTTATTTCCCCCACACCATCTGTTTACAACCAAAAGACAGCAGCAAGAGGAAGAAAAGGCCACAGCGAGGCTTTCTTTTCTCCGTACTGTGGAAATGCAACAAAAACACAGTAGACAGAGTCACCATTGCCTGTTCCTCAGTGAGCAGTGGGAGTAGCAATCTAAAACTCCATTTAGGCTCCTGTTTACCTAAGAGATGAGCCCCAAAACACAGTCATTCAACCGCTCACCCCTTTATCTGGTCATGAATATTCCCATAATCCTCTGGCCTGTATCCCAGAGGCCCCTTCTTTAAGATGCTGGGTGCTGTGCGGGTTGGCGAGGGTGGAGGGACTCCCGCCCATTGAGAGAAAGAGAGGGGAGCCTTTTCCCCCAAATTCCCTCTTTCAAGGCCTTCTCTCGGCTGATCTCCACATGAAATGATATCTCATTCACTCTCACTCTGTCGAGTCCCCTAAGCCCGCTACGGCCGAAGCGCTGGCAGAAGGAGGGCTGAGCCACAAAGCCTTTAATTGACCTGTAATTAGACTGTGAAACTGCGTGGCCCTGCTGGACAAGTAGCCAACACAGAGGAGAGGGAGAACAGAGGAGAGAAAAAGATGAGAGGGAGAGGACAGGGAGGCCTGCAACTTACTGTGAGACAGAAAAAATCTAATCCTCTTACTATGGGAGATGGCCACTCTCCTGTAAAGAAACGGTGGCTGTTATTAAAAAGTGGCAACAGACAGATTTCAGCGGTGAAGTTCGGTGCCAAGGTTGAGGCTACTTTAAAATTTCCTACTGACAACCGAGCAGCGATTCACAGTATGGGAGAGTGGGGCGGAGGGTTAAGTTTCTGT